GCACGGAGACTACGAGCCTCTGGTCCCACTATCCGCCGAGGAGGAAGCGAAAATTCCGGACCATATCTCCGTCATTGCCATCGCGGGGCCTGAGGAGACTCCCAAGCAGTTCTGGAAGTGCAAAGAGGACGAGGCCTGGGGCCCTCTGTCTGTAACCCAGAGTTGGCCATTCAAGAAATATTTTGGCGCTACCTGGCTGGCTGGTGCTCAGAACATGGTCAAGATTCCAGAGCCGAGGGCAACTTAGATGCAGAATTTTCACCCCCGGAACTCTGTATGGACATCGCTCATTTTCGTTGTGTAATATCGTGTTTGTATGCTTTCATCTCCTCGAATTCTCTCGTTGTCATTTTATTTGCCCCATGCTCTCGTACACCGTGCCTCTTTTATCGATTGTTTTGATGGCTTTGAATATACATGCTCTTTCATTATCATTGGCTTGGAGCGCTCGGTTATCCATTGAGTTCAAAGCACAAGAAACGATCAGACTTCCAGGAGTCTCGCCTTAGACGGGTCGGATAAGTATACTACGCTCTTTCTCGTTCAAGCTCTTAGCTGGGGCCTTTCACGGTCTAGTATACCTTGGGAGCAGACCGGAGGATGGCTAGCTCAAGCAGACGCTGAGGGTGGAGTGGGATTGCCAGAGTTAAATAGTAGTACTGCATGTACATTCGACGGAAAAGCTTCAACTAACCAAAGAGATCTAGATATGGTACGGTTCAAGAAGTACAAGCCTACTAACGGTCCCAGTCCGGATATCGCGATGATTTCGGTCAACAGAGGTGGCGAGGGCGATGTACAGTACATAAGACCGCAGCCTGCGAATGGGCCGTAGACGAAAGAGAGAGGTGAAGACAGATAGAAAAAGCCGCCTGCGGCAGGGAAGAGATCGCTCGAGTTTCTAGCGACACAGAAGTTTTGTGCGTTGATTCGAAGATGAGGCGAAGATTGGGAGGGAGCAGTGTGGAGCTGGGTAGAGAAGAGAGGAGCCAAATGAGCTGTGGCTCTATCTGACGGCTGGCGTAAATACAGAGAGATAGAGAAACATTGCGAATTGAGACTGGCAGGGACAGTGGACGAGATCTTCGCGCCCGGGCTTCGTATGATTATTGGTGAACTTTGCGGCTTTTGAAAGCCATTCGTCTGTGTCTAAGAGATGTTAGAAAGAGCAGAAAGATTTGAACCCGGCCGTTTGCTTGATAGCTTTAACGCTCGATAGATGACAATCATTATACGTACTTACCCATGTGCGCCGCCGACCGAGATAATTCTCTTACCTACCAAGCTAGCACCATATTGGCGGCCGTAGTGACTGGAACGAGCGTGCAAGACATCAGAGCACCCTCGTGCGCGATCCATCGGAAAACCCAGCGGAGAAATGAATAGAGTGTACTTATATCTACGGAAAACCGGCACGTCCGAAGTGTATACTCAGGAGTTCGTGTCGAGGGACTACTCGAGTCAAGCTGACAGCAAGAATGCGAAGTGGCGGGTGGTGCTGCACACAGGTCTTGTCAGTCGTGTCTGAGCGACGTGGTCTTGTTAGGACTCGGAAGGCGATGGAGATGGAGATGAAGTTGATGAGAGGGTCTGTGACGTGGAACGCGCGATGCAGTTGAGCGTGATGTCTTGTAGGTCCGAGTCGTGGCCCGCCCGCCCCTGGTTTTCTGGTTCGAAGGTGTTCGCATCTCCGGTTGAGAGGTGTCGGATTTCAGCTTCCAGGTGTGGCGTTGGGTGCCAGGCTGAGCGCAATGAGCGAAGGCGGGTTGGGATGCATCACAACGGGATTACTGTGTCATCGTTCGATGGGGTGCATGTTCGATGGATTGTGATATGGAGGCGGATTCGGATGCGTGAGGTGAGAGATGAGTCAATGCTGCTAATGATCAGTCATAAGAGTCAGTAGGATTAGGTGTCACGGGTATGTCCAAAGCAGGAGAAGAAATAGATGAAGATAATATATGGACGTAGCCTGCGTTGCGTCCTCCCTTTCACTACCCCAGTGTCCAGGTGTAGAGGACGCATCGATGTGTTGAAGGTTTCACCGTTTTAGACGTCTGTGAGCCACTAATGATAAGTTATACTTCCAAATAGGATGTCGTTCGATCTCGGGGCTTTGAAGAGCGTCGCTTTTGCTAGAGTTGATCGTGTGTGCCGTAGAAATAGACGGGTGGACGGATGACGGCGAGAAGAAAGATTCGAAGCCAAGGGATGTCGATGGCGCAGGGAACCTTGTACGATCCGGTAAGAAAGCTATCAGGGCATCGAAAAGGATCGCAGAGCGGATACATACTAGAACAAAGATTCGACGAGGCGAAAGCAGGGCGTGCGATGTTCGTTACAAGAGTGTACCGTGGCATGATGACCTTGCATCTGAACGGCGGTACGAGCACGGGCTGAAGAGTGCAGCAAGGATGCAGTTGGATCCCATGAGTATCATCATGGTAAAGTATCTGAGAGGGGATACATGCTAGATCAAAGACTCGGGGAGGCGAAAGTTGGGCCCAGCGCGATCGCCGATGTTCGATACGAGAGCGTGGCGTGAAAATTGGCCATACTGGCCTTGCGTCTGAACAGTACAAGCACAGGCTACTAGGGGATATATGAGTGCATCGGCAGGGACAAAGGCCGATTATGCTAGCAAAGAATCTGCCATCGTACGTCGGGCTTGAAGACGCTATAAAAGCGTACGAAGATCAAATA